TATTCATAAATATTATGAAAGCTACTGAGCAGCACATGTGAGACTGTTCATTATGCCGCACAAGCTAGGTGGTACTAACTTCTGACCTACTCCGTGGATGGCGATGAAATCCTCTGATTCCTATGATATGATTGCTCAGATTGAAGGTATTGAGCAATACAATCCCGGCCGTAATGTTTCCTGCATTCACTTGCGCGTGATCGGACGGATCCGGGGACAGCGGACTCTCGTATGAAAGGGATGGCGATGCCCGTTGCCGGGGGGGGCTCCCTATAATGGTCTCTACGAGGATGTTACGCCCGAAAGGGTTAACTTTTTCACTTTTCCTGGGTTTTTGAAAGGGAAGGGATATCACCAGTTGATGTGTATCAAAGGGTTGTAAAATCTGTCATTTCGTTCTGTAAAAAGGCCCAAAAGGGCTAACAGATGCATTCTACGGCTGTGAAAAAGTCGAGAAAATGTTCTGTTTTTGTGATTTACTTGTATTTAAAAGACAGTACAAAGTTATAGCACTTGAAAGGCATGCAATCAAAACTAAATTAGTTATGTGAAGGAGTACCATGAGTAGAAGGTATACGAAAGGGGTACCTTTTCTGTCAAAAATGGGCGATAGGTTGGACCTCTAGGCGGAGCCCCCACCACTCAGGATAAAACTTTGTTGAGTACCCCCTCCGGGTCCATTGTCATGTTTAGGGGGTGTAAACTGCAAATTCTGGTACCACTTTCGGGTGATCAGGATGGAATGCCGATATTTTTAAGCTTTAAATTGGCAACGACGATTCTTAGCGCAACACGGCGTTGCAATGTTGGGACAATGTTGTAACTATTCGAAAGAACAACAATGTTGCAATGCTGTGTTGTGCTAAAAATCGTCGTTGCGAATCGTCTCGTGTAACATCACGCTAAGGTATTGCTTAGGGCCGAGCTTCAAGGAATAAAGGAAGAAGAAGAAAGAAAGGAAAAAGAAAAGAAAGAAAAAGAGAAGCATTTAATGACTGACTACTGTATCGGAATTGAAATTATAGCTTTTAATTGGCTGTCTGTTTTAGAATGACATCTTTTAGGCTTCAAATGAAGCTTTAGCCAATCCCATATCTCCTTTAGGTTTTATAGGGTTTAGTTCCGAGCATTTAATTTTCACCCCCCATGAATCCCACCCAGAATGTGAATGATCATCTGAGTGACCTACATCTTAAATGTTTTCTTAACCTTCCCCTCATTAAGAAATTAAACAGTGAAGTTAATAATAATAATAAAAAAAAACTCTAACTAGTCTACGATTACAACCAGTCTGAAAGCTTTCGCGGAAAATCAAATTTCCGAGTCTTCTGGGAAAGTTACGAATTCCGGTCTTGGAAATCGAGTAATTTAAGCATCTTGACCGTAATTGGTGTATAAAATCAGACATTTCGGTGGTTTGAGGCGCAGCAGAACGGCTCTCTAAACCATCACAAGGCATTCTTTCTAAAAGGGAGGTTTGCAGGGGTTTGACGGTCTTAGCAAGAGAACAACATCCAGGTAGGCTTTTATAAGCTCTTTCTATCTAGGGATCTTATCGACTCTGGCATTCCGTCGTCGTTGTCAAGTTGTGGTTGAGCTGCCCTCGTTTAAGTAAGGCTACCACGCACAACGCGCTACGAAATCGACAAGCTCAGACCCATACAGAAGCTCCGGTCTCTATCCTTTCTCTCATTTCTATAATTCGGTTTAACCTTGACCACACATTTTCCAGCATAAGATTGATATATGTAGTCTGTTTAGGGAGAACAGAAGTACAATGTTTTATCAACTGAAGATTTGATTAGTCAATTCTTTAGTTGATAAAACATTTTACTTCTGGAATTCTTATCTAGTCTTTCTATTGAGCACTCTGACAGCAGTTCTGCATCAACTGGAGTGAAATCAAGTACATGCTAGAAGATGTATATTTAGCTAAAATAATGTTTCAGTTTTTAATAACACCTGCGCGTCTTTGAGTAAGAGCCCTGCTAGTCTGGTTGAGCAATTACTTTATGTGTATTTTGAAGGTCGTTAAAACTCGACGTTCGATCACCATGTCTGAAGAAGAGGTTATGGGTCATAGGTATCATTCCCTACACAGTTATGAACCCACTAACTGCGACAACAAAGGAAAGATTCCTCCGTCAGAAGACCCATACAGAAAAGCCAGGCACTTCATCAAAATGAATAAGGAACGCAATTGCTGTAATATTATTAAAAGAGATAACTCTGTCCAAAAATGGCAACTGCCACAAGATAAGCCGAAGGTGCATATAAAGAAGGTTGCAGATAGCGGTACGACTCTCTATTACCACGACAACCTTCTGGGGTCCGACGATTTTCCTCACTAGCGTAATGAACATTCCGCGAGAAGCAATCAGTTAAAGAAACGGATGTATGAGTTGTCTTGTGGATCTCGCTTACCTGTGACTTTTTTCACAGACTTCTTTTTGTCAACTTTATTATTAATCAACTTAAGTCTTTTGTAAGCATAGCCTAGACAGCAATGTTTCCTATTCGCATTAAGCTTTACCGTTGCATAGTCTGTAACAAGATGTGTTTTACAGGAAAAGGAGCGTAGCTAGATTTTCAAGATCACGTCGACTTTTAACCTGCGTGACAGACGATTGAAAGGAAAGGGAAAGAGGGGAATAACGTGCGCGAGAACGCGATCGGCACGCGAGGAAAGAGAAAGCGCACGCTTTTTTTGTGCTCTCGCGCGCGAGCTTTCACACTCCCCTTCATTTTTTCCTTTCAACGGCTGCCTTACAAACTAGTTGAATCCTGTATTAAGATATTCAATGATAGTTTTCAGTTTAAATTACTGCTTCCTGCACAAGGATATCAAAATTTTCTGGCTAAGAATCTTAAGGCAATAAAAGTTAACTAATGTTTCTGTATATATTCAGTTCCTATGCATTGCACCGTTAGATTGTTTGAGCAGAACAAAATATGGTTCTCCATAACATTTCACTACAATTTGTCTAGTGAAATGTCGGCGAATTCAATGGCTATTAAGACTCTAACACGGTTGGCCAACTCTATCAATATCATCAGCCCGAAGCCTTCACGGAGATACATGTTAGTTTCTGACGAGTGAATGGAACATTTTAAACACAAGCGTTTTGCAGTCGTCTTCTTTCTGCCGTCCTGTTGCGTAAACTCACTAATATTTATTTAGTACTCATAGACGAAAACCGTTAAACTTCGGCAATGCAGCTCAATGTACTAGTAGGAAGCTATTGTTATGATAAAGTAAAGTATATACAGTCGACTCCCGATAACTCGAACCTTCAAAGGATGTCAAAAATAGTTAGAGTTATCAGGAGATACAAGGTTATTTTGAAGTAAATTCAATGTTAGTAACACGGTGGTAGTGGCCAACCCCAAAGCTTTGCTCCTTTAATTGGCCACTACACACTTTTCCAATGAAATATTTATTGCAACATGTATAGTAGATCTGACTTCCCTCTTCTTTTAGTTCCTATTATTACTGTATTTATGTACTTTTTTTAAATACGTTTGAATAAACTGAACCTGAACTTGTTTTGAAAAAAAAAAAAAAAAGGTGACTAAAGCAGTAAATAAGAAGCAACAAAAAAGGAGAGGAATTCAAATCAGAAAAAGAGAGCTCACTTCCTAATAAACTGCCAAAACATTTTCCTTACACCATAATCGGCAAGGGTAACGCCGCCGTCTTTCAAAATTTGAGCGCACCGGCAAAATTGGACCCTTTCCCGTATCATGCGATCACGCAATTTTGTTTTGAGCAAGTCACGCTATACGCAAGTCCTACGTCACCTTAAAGATCTCACTTTGGAGAAAAAAGCGAAACGAGGTCAAACATTACACCTCTTGTTATACCTGTCCTTATACTGACTTATCATCTTACAGATATCTTTACCAATCTTAATATATAAGTTTACGTCATAGTCATTTTAAGAATTGTATACTCTTCTAAAGTAATACTAGAACTGAACCATTACAGCTAGATAAACTTAACGTACAATGCATGGCCGGGCAGAATCACGCAATGCAATAGGGATTACATACGTCTTAGTCTGGTGGTTGAAACTCGAGTAACAACGTTCTGTCTTAAGCTTTTTTATTTAGTTTATTTGATAGTAATACCATTTTGGAATTTGGGACTACTACTGGCTATTAAAGGTTTTTGTCTTTGTTGTTGATGTCGTCGTTGTTGTTGTATTTTGTTTAAAGATAGCCTGGAGAGACACTCATTGATAAATTATAAATTTAGTGTTGATTATTGCTTTATTTGAGTTACAAGCTTTCATGACTAAAAAGGTTAAACGCATGAAGCCCGGGGGGGTACCCCCTTATATAAGCCATTTAGGTATGTGCCGCCCCATCGGGTAGGGTTTTTTGCGCCGTTTTGGTCTGAAAACGGACATACTCTTGGCCCATTTTGGTCTGGAATCGGATATGGTTTTCGAGGGAACTACGGAGTGTCTGAACCTATTGATCGCTTCAATTCTAAATGAGTAAGAAAGAAAGAAAAATATGCGAATTCAAAATGGAATTGAATAATGTTTTTGTTTGCGCTCTAATCTGAGTAATGATTTCATAATTTCTACCCAAAGGTCAGGTCTCAAAACGGGTATGGATGGTCTAGTCTGAAAACGGGTGTGGAAAATTACATTTTTGGTCTGAAATTGGCTCAGGATTTGAAGAACGGGCGGCACACCCACACAAAGAATTCCCAGGAGTACCCCCCCCATCCCCCCGGGGCATGAAGACAACACAAATCAATCCGGGTTTTCACGGAAAGCAACGAATATTTTAGATTAGTTTACTTGTCAAATGAGTAGCCTTCGCATTGTATTCTAAGTTTGCTTCTCAGTTTTCTGCCACTTAAATACAGGTGAGACTTCCCTTTGGCAAGAGAGTATACAGTACATACCTTGTTGCGCACATCTAGTGGAATCGAGTTTTTACCGGTGAATCAGCTGGACAGCTTCCAAGCATTCAGTTCCAAAGCCATGGGAAGCCCTTATTCTACCGAGAAACTGAGAGACTACAAGCCCTCCAACTGCACTTTGGTTAAAAACAGCAAAGAGGAAGATCCGTATAGAGAAGCCAGACGTTTCATCAGTGAAGACACTAAACACAACTGCTGTAATGTTGGAAGAGATAATTCGGTCCAGCGATGGCAACTTCCGCGAGGACGGTCCAAGGTGTTGTTAAAGAAGGCCGCAATGGCAGACAGCGGTACGACTTTCTACTACCATGATGACCTCTTAGGCTCTGAGGAATTTCTTGGTTAGCTCGTTGAATCAGAATAACAATTATTGTACTTGGTCATGACAAACAATTTATTTCAGCATTTTTCTTTGTAATTTCCTTTCATCGGCAGCGATAGATCAGCTGATAGATTTCATAATAGTCGGCAGACGAGTTACTATTCAAATACGTCGCTTTTGTGTGACTCTGAATTTACGTTATTTAAATATGATTTACTTTATGTCAACTAAATAGACGCGCTATCTTAAGTGATAGTCAACGCATGCACCTTTAACCTGTAAAATATAAGTGGCAAACGCGTCGACTACTTTCTGGATAAACGTTTTTTCAGTTTTTTTAATACATAATAAAACTCTCAGAGTTCATTTCAGTTTTGCTAATAGCCGAGTGTTGTAGCTCGGCCTTTAAATAACTTATGAGTATATAACGTGAAAAAAAAAAAAAAGACACATGATTCACTAACTTTACTTTGGCTGTTTTAATCAATCCAGACGAGAAACTGCTTTCATTGCCGAGCCAAGGTGACAAAACAACTAAATAAAAAACCTAATTCTTTTTCAAGGTAAAATGCAAACGAAAAACGTTGCTTTTAACCATGGGGCGAAAACGTAACAGTGGAATAGAGTAAATTGTGGTTGCAACTTAATGAATAGTCTAGCTACAGTTTTCAGTAAAAATTGTTGGGACACTTTACTATATTCTTACCCTCCCAATGTTGGTGTGCAAGAGTTTGTGTCTTAACTGGTATAAACAACATTGGGAGGACAAGGACACGGGCCAGTAGTGAAAAATACAGCGCAGGGTGTCCTAACTATTTTTGTCTGTCTGTGACTGTAGGCCTGGACTGACCAGCAGATGTGAGACTGTTCATTGCGCCGCACAAGCTATAGCTAGTGGTTCTAACTTTTGACGTACTCCGTGGAGGGCAATGAAATCCTCTTAGTCCTATGATATGACAGCTCAGATTGAAGGTGTACTGAGTAATACACTCCCGGCCGTAATGTTTCCTGCATTCACTTGCACGTGAACGGATCCGGGGAAAGCACACTCTGGTATGAAAGGGACGGCGATGCCCGTTGCTCGGGGGGTGTTCCCTATAATGGGCCTATACGAGGAGGTTACGCCTGAAAGTTGTACCTTTTTCAGGCTTCGTGGGTTGTAAAAGGGTATGGATTTCATTAGTTGAAGTGTATCAAAGAGTAGAAAAAACTGGCATTTCGTTCTGCATTCTATGGCTGTGAACAGGTCGAGAAAACGTTCTGGTTTTGTGATTTGCTCGTATTTAATAGACAATAAATTTACAGCAGTTGAAAGGCATGTAAAGGTCTAAACTAGGTATGTGAAAGGGGTAACATTTGTCAGTAGAAGGTATTACGAAAGAGGTACTTTTTCTGTTCAAAATAGGTAAGGGGTTGGACCTCTGGGTGGAGCTGAAAATTGAAAAATACTTCTAGATTATCAGAACGTAATAAAACATTGCCTATTGTAAATAGAGCAAGCGTTTTACTGTCTTGAGAAGTAAATATCAGCCTCCACTAAGAAAACTATTTGCTTGCAACACGTCGATGGGAAATTCAAAATTCATTGTTTCGGACGCTAGTACACTGTTTTTCTTTCTTTCTTTCTTTCTTTCTTTTTTTTTTTTTTGGACTTTTTAAGAGCTTAAAACGTGGTTCGAGTTGTCCAGGGTAAAATTATAAAGAAATGCTCTGAGGAGAAACAAAAATTACTTCGAGTTAGCTGGAGGTTCGAGTTATCGAGGGTTCGAGTTACCAAGGGTGAAATTACAGTAAATGTATGAAGGAAATCCAGGGGAAATCGATTTTGGTTCGAGTTCGCGCGAGATTCGAGTTAGCGTGGGTTCGAGTTACCGGGAGTCAACTGTAGAAGAAAGAAAGCAAAAAAAAAAGAGAAAGAGAAATAAAAAGATAACGATTCTATGACTGACTAATGTATTGGAATTGAAATTATAGCTTTTATATAGTTTTGGCTGTCTGTTTAGAAAATCATCTTCAAACGGAGCTTTAGCCACGCCCCTATACGTCTATCTTCTTTGATAGGGGTTTAGTCCCGAGCATTTTCACCCCCCATGTAAGAACATCTCCCCCAAGAATGTGAATGATCATCTGAGTGACCTTTGTCTTAAATGTTTTCGTAACCTGCCCCTGATTAAGAAATTAAACAGTAAAGTTGTTTGTTTTTCTTTTTGTTTTTATTAAAAAAAAACCCTAACTGGTCTTCGATTACAACTAGAAATAAAAGCTTTCGCGGAAAATCAAATTTCCGAGTCTTCTGGGAAAGTTACGAGTTCCGGTCTTGGAATTACAGTAATTTAAGTATTTTGACGGTAATTAGTGTATAAAATCAGACATTTCGTCGGTTTGAATTGCAGCAGCTAGGACAGGTCTCTAAACAATCAGCGAGGTACTCTTTCTAACAGGGAGGTTTGACGCTCTTAGCAAGTGTACAAGATTCAGGTAGTATCTATTAGGCGTATGCTCATGTTATCTAGGGGTCTCATCCAGTCATGCCAGGACGGTTTACGGTGTAGCCAAAATCGAGGAGGTAACTATTTCCTTTGGGGCTATTGGTCTTTTTACCAGCTCTCAGCTATGTGTATATGTCTTAGCCACCAGCAAAAAATGAGCATACTGTGACAATTCTGACAATTGGGTAATTTTGACCCTGGCGTTTCATAATTTGACTCAAAGTAGTATTCTTTGCAAACAATAACTGACCTCATCTTAGTCAATGCAATATACATAATCGCAAATTATTAACTGGACTGAACTTGAGGGTGAATTCATTTGCAATTGGCAGCATCCGCGAATAAAGCAGTCGCAAAAATCTCTAAAACTACGTAAAGAAAGGAAGGGGAAAGATTCGCAAGTTTTAATACTGGATTCCTCCCCTTCAGACATGACAGACATGGATGGAGTGGCCCATTTAAGCCTGGGGGACTTAGGTTTTCAACAAAGGTTTTTACAGGAATACCACGCACCTCCCCTCCCCTAGATCAAAATCTTTGCCCCTTACCCTTTACTTCAACACAAGACTATGAAAAGAAAAGCCGGCCTGAGCCCCTGTAGGGGTATATCCGACAAAACTGAAATCGCCACGATCACTGTTGATGAAGCAACGATCTAGAAAGGAGGTCAAAGACAGACCTGCACGGACTCCTAATGTAGTTTTTATGGTTGGGACGCATTATATATCAAGCTTTCAAAGGCGCGGATCTAGGACAAATACTGACCGATTTCATAAAATAATGAAAGCCGCCTGCTTCAAGCTATATTTTAGCACTTACAAGCATGCCATTTAGATTGATTTAGTGATTTAACATGATCGGAGGCCTTTTGAAAAATATTTTCAGTGGGGGCTGATTTTCTATTAGATTCTTGTTCGCCATCTCGATCTTTTCTTGTAATATGTAGAAATGAAATGCATTAGTTTTATCCTTTCTTTGAGCGCCGATTGTCGACATTGTTTAAAGTCAAAGTTGACCTCCGACAACGAACTTTCCATAATCTTTGTTTAGGATACCCGCGTGCTTCGAGGCGTTGTTTAAAGTTCGTAAAGCACTCTTCATTTTTTTTTTTTGTTTTTTGAATATTTTGTTCTAAGAAAAAGTGTGTATATTGAAAGGTCTCAGTCGGCTTAGCTTGTATGTAGTGGGTTTTGATATCCAGGATTGATTTCTCTTTGAACCGCTCTCCTATGAGAACTATTCTCTGATATTTCGGCCGTAAACTTTATTGTGGGGTGTGGAATTTGTTAGCTTTTTCTTTGTCGAATTGCCATTCCTATCAGGTTTGCAATAACGGCAAAGAAATCTGCTTTTCTTATTTTCTCGTTTCCGTCGTTGTGTCAAGACTGTTGTCCCGTTGTGGTTGAGCTGCGCTCGCTAGTAGCGTTACCACGCACAACAATTCTTACTGCGACTATTCATCCGAAAAAGCGATGATTTGAAGGAAACCTCGCGACGAAAATCGACGTCCGCAGGCCCACACTGAAGATCCGGCCTCTATCTTTTATCTCATTTTCATAATTCAGTTTAACCTTGACCACACATTTTCCAGTATAAGAAAAGTTACTTTGATACATGTAGTCTGTTTAGACACGTAGTTTGAGTAATCTCTACTACTTGCTGGAAGAACAGAAGTAACAATTTTTTATTTGACTAGTCAAATCTTCCGGTGATAAAACATTTTACTTCTGGCATTCTCGTTCTAGTCTTTCTATTAAGCACTCTGACAGCAGTTCTGCATCAACTAAAATCAAGTATGTGCTAGAAGACTGTATATTTAGCTAAAATAATGTTTCAGTCTTTTAACAACACCTGTGGAAAACCTACTGAGCATCCCTTTGAAAAAGTGCGCTTCATTGAGTAAAAGCCCATCTTGTGAAGTTGAGCAATTACTTTATGTGTATTTTGTAGGTCGTTGGAACTCGAGTCGTTCGATCACCATGTGTGAAGAAGAGGTTTTGGGTTCAGCGTATCATAAGCTACGAGGTTATGAACCCTTTAAACTGCGTCAACAAAGGAAAAACTACTTCATATGAAGAAGCCAGGGACTTCATCAACAAGGATCAGGAACGCAATTGCTGTAATGTTGGAAGAGATAAATCTGTCCAAAAATGGCATCTGCCACAAGAAGAGCAGAAGGTGCGTATAAAGAAGGCTGCAGATAGCGGTACGACTCTCTATTACCACGACGACCTTCTGGGGTCCGAAGATTTTCCTCACTAACGTAACGAACATTCCGCGAGAAGCAATGAAGTTAAAGAAACGGATGAATGAGTTGTTTCGTGGATCTCGCTTACCTGTGACTTTTTTGACAGACTTCTTTGTTGTCAACTTTATTATTAATCAAGTTAAGTCTTTTGTAAGCATTAAGCTTTACTGCTGAATAGCCTGTAACAAGATGTGATTTATAGGAAAAGTAGCCTAGATTATAAGATCTCGTTGACTTCCAGCCTACGTCGACAGACGATTGAAGAGAAAGGGAAAGAGGGGAATAAGGTGCGCGAGAACGTGATCGGAACGCGAGGAAAGAATAAGCGGGTGCCCTTTTTGTGCTCGCGCGAGCTTTCAATCCCCTTCTCTTTTCCCTTTCAACAGCTGCCTTACATGCTAGTTGACTTAATTCTATATTAAGATTCAATGATAGTTTTCAACTTAAGTTACTGCTTCCCGCACAAGGATATCAAAATTCTCTGGCTAAGAATCTTAAGGCAATAAAAGTCAACGAATGTTTCTGTATATATTCAGTTCCTATGCATTGCACCGTTAGATTGTTCGAGCAGAACAAAATATGTTTCTCCATAACGTTTCACTACAATTTGTCTAGTGAAATGTCGGCGAATTCAATGGCTATCAAGACTTTTAACACGGTTGGCCAACTCGATCAATATAATCAGCCCGAAGCCTTCGCGGAGATACATGTTAGTTTCTGACGAGTGAATGGAACATTTTAAAATGTGACTAAAGAAATAAATAAGAAGCGGCAAAAAAGGAGAGGAATTCAAATCAGCTGAAGAGAGCTCATTACCTGTTAAACTGCCATAACATTTTCCTTACACCATAATCGGCAAGGGCAACGCGGCCGTCTTTCAAAAGCGTGAGGCGTGATGAAATATGAGCGCGCCTGCAGAATTCGACCCTTTTCCGGATCACGCGATCACGCAATTCTGTTTTGATGAAGTCACGCTATACGCAAGTCCTACTTCACTTAAAGATCTCACTTCGGAAAAAGTCATGAACCAACTGAAAAATGAAATTACAGATACAAGAGAGTGGACTAAATGAACGGCATTTAACTCTTATTATTCTCAGAATGGCATTAGCTCTTTATATTATTCACAGACTACATAGTACTTTGATTACGACAACGCATATAACCTTGATTGGAATCCATGCAAAATCTGAAAGTTTTCTGCAGGATTTCCTCTTATGAAAAGAAAGGGTTTCCTTATCTTTATTCTATAAAAAGCCTCCAAAAATTATACTTTATCTATTTCACAAACTCATACACCGACAGACCTCAAGCTTCCATTCTACTGAATGTCGTGACGCACGAGCAGGTAGATATGTCGTTTCCTAATATGGTATGTTTACATTGAGACAAAATTCATCATGCGCGGAGTAAGCTTACAGCCTAGGATACTCAGACAGTTCAATGTTTTCTCTCGTTGAAATCCACACTAAAATTTGGATCCAATTTTTTTCACCTGACCTGAGACATTTTGACATGCTGATAATTAAGTGATAAACACTAGTACGTAGAAATTCAGGAAAAGCTCCATAGTTATTACGCATATCAAAAGCACTTGTTCCATTGAAACAATCTACTCCTGTTTGGCCTTGAAACACTTAGTCAGTAAAAGTGAATTTTACATTTTCGTTTGTTAAGTTTTCAAGTTGCCATCAAAAACATTAACTGAAAATTGATTAATAGAGAAAAGTTCTTTGCATGCTTATGGTTTTTTGTCTACCCTCTACAAAAGAATAACAAATCAACTGTTTATAATTTAGTTTATGCAAATTTATGTCATTGCGTAATTCCCATCGCACGGTGTATTAAGCACGTTTCCAAACTGTCTTTTCCTTTTAAGGATACACTAAACATGTTTCGGTGTAAAAGATCTCGGGAAAAACCCACAGTCTAGAGCAAATGAATAATTCCAAATGTAGAAATAGCACATCAAACCGGGAACATATATATACACAATTATAGCAAGGTTGTTATCAAGCCAAAAAAGAAAGTTGGAAGTCAGCTCAGTCCATCTCTGTTCATAGGAGGTCTAACAGAGGCAAGTCATTGACTGGTAAGGTACCTAACTATGTTTTAAGTGACTCTTTGGAGTCTAAATATTTATAACATCATTAGTGGAAAGCTCAAGTTGCTAAATTTCTTTATACAATTTATTACGTGCTTTAAAATCTTTCTTTTTTTTTTTTGCTTTTAAGTGTTCCATCTATGAACAGCCATGTTTTCTGCACATATTGATAATAAGACTGATTTGCTAATTACCTCACCTGATAGTAAACAATTTTTAACTTTTTTGTTTCCAAAGACTTTGAAAAAAAATTGAAGTCACAATCAACCATTACAATGGTAAGTAGTAATGCTGATAGAACTTAACATTCTCTGTTGTTACTATTAATTAAATGCTTGACAGAACTGGTACCTTACCAACATTGCGTAGTTTTGCAAGTGTAACTACTTTGTGATGGCGCTATTTATTAACCACACCCTATTCTTTTAAGGTATATTTCCTGCGTAGGTCTAGTTTCACTGCTTTTTAAATTGAGCTTATGTAAACCGCCTACGCTTAAACATCGACTTCCTTCTATACTATGGCCAGTTTAAGCGAGAACGCTGTCGTCCAGGAGGCAACTGATGAATAGCAACCGGAAATTCGGTGTTCCCGCTCAACGCATCGCTTCTGACTGAGACAAGTTTGTCGGTTTTAACTCATGCTGTTACTGAGTAAGCACTGAGGAGAGAAAAGATAAACTTTCATAAACTGTTTTACTTTCCATTGCTTAAGTTCGCCAACATGACGGCCCAAAAAAGAATTGTCGTTGTTCACCAAGGACTACTGGCTAAATGGACGAGCAGAGTAACACATGAGAGTGGTGCCCTTAATGCTGTATCCGGCCAGCTGCCGAGAATGCAAAAGCGTGGCAGAAGGCGACTATTACGCCAAAGGGTAATATGGAATTAAAACTGCCGCCTTCTGAATCAAATAATGTTTTCCAAAGAACAAAATACGCAGCACTCTCTAGCTCTATTTCAGTACAAGGAATTATTGCTAAAAAGGTCTTTGTTATTGTCATACAATACCTCATGGCCCATATTCGTTAGTCGGGCTGACATTAGTTTTGTTTTTTCATTTATTTTCAGTTTCCAATAGCTGATGAATGCAAAGACATTTTCACTGCTATCAAGTTGAGGCGTCAATATGCCTATGCAATCATGAAGATCGAGAACAGGAAAGAGATCGTTTTGAAGAAATATACCGATCCGCTTCCAGATAATACCCAGGAAACAAACGAGGTTGTTTTCAATAAAATGAAAGAGGACCTCGTTAGTCTTGGTGAGCTCGTTTCATCCTCTTTGACGTTAGGTTTACACGAAGAAATGGTTTTACCAAGAATGTTGCGGGATACATCTATTGGTAACGTTGGTTTACTTGTTTGTTTGTTTGTTTGTTTGTTTTTTACAAAACCCTATGTTCACTGGGCTTAGAAAACGTACCTGCGATTGTTTTTAGGGCTAAAAAGATAATTTGGGTCATTCAGATATTCTTTCGTTAGCTTATTAAACAACCCCTTCTGAAAGGCAAAGTTATGAAATCCAATCAGGTATCCAATCAGGTATCTCCCTAGGAATGGCCGGGGTCACGTACATGTTGGGTTTAATTTTATCCTTGGTTTAAATTTTATTTTCTTTGTTCCAAACTAATTATCGTACATTACCATAACCCAAACCAAAGGAAAATAAAATTTAAACCAAGGATTCGCCCCATGTAAGGGATTCCGGATTCGGGAATCGGCGAAATCCTTGCTTATAGAATCTGGAATCCCAGGTTTTGGAATTCGGACTACAGCTTAAGGAATCTGGAATCCCACTAGCGATTGGAATCCAGAATCCAAGTTCTACTGAAAAGTACTGGAATTCAGTACCTGGAATCCAGAATCCAAGACTGTCCTGGATTCCCTTACATGGGGCGAAAGGAAGATTGAGCTACAACTGTATGCAACTGGTGCTTAGCAGCAAAATATAAATATCTTTAGGACAGAGTGTCCGGGGAAGAATCAGCTCTCCAGGATAAAGAAGGTCAGTGGGCCTAAAGGTTGGACTGTATTCAGCCTCAGGGCTTGAATATAAGTGATTTCTTTTTTACAGCCAGAATAGGGCACCTAGGTCTCGCTTCCGGTAAAAGCGCGCGCGTGTTTATCTTCCTTTGTAGCGCGTGCAAATTTTCAAATTTGTTCGTTATCATGTAATAATGGTGTGTAATGCCGGCCATTCACCCTGATGAAGGCCGTTTTACACGGTCGAAATATAGGTGAGAGATGAAAAACATATTGTTTTACTCTTCACTTGTGGTACTGTATTTATTGAGTTGTGAAGAGAATGTCTTCTAGCGGATGCTTGTGATACGTTGTTATCTTTAGGACGAGGTATATTCCACACAGATTGCTCTTTTTATAATGTAGTCATCTTTATTATTATATAGATACTGAGAAATTTCAAAATTTTGATACGCAAACGAGTTCTAGCCAATCAGAGGAGTGAACTATGGTTTTCACACGTGAAAAAAATGATACGTCCAATCAGAATCGCGAACGATGTTTTTTCACATGTGAGAAAAATGATACGTCCAATCAGAAGCCACGGAGGTATGTGAGTTTCGCGCCAAAATTAACGCCTTTTCTTGCAGCTTGATTAGCACCCCTTCGCACACATTCGAGGAGAAAAGTTTTTCTCAAAGATTTTTAAAAAAGTGAAAAGCATTTCAGAAATGGAGTGGAGTAGTTTCGTAGTTTCACT